TAATCAGTCGAATACCTCAGTATTTAAAGGTGCAGACGACGCACCCTATGGCCTAGGTCTTTTCCATCATAAGGGATGTGGGAAGGGGGAACCGTGGTTAAAGGTGGGCGAGTTCGCTGTCATTGTTGTAGCTTCCGAATGAGTGAGTAGTTCTGTCAGGGATGTTGCCCTTGCACTTCAACATGCGCTCTGATCAACCACGTCGTCAAATGAAGTATTTTCTTCTTTTCTGGAAACTGTCATATTTGATTGGCTGTCAGCCGTCGTCAGTCATCAACGACAGGAAAAACTCATGAGTGAGAATTTCAAATCCTAGTAACCGAAAATGGGTCACGCCTTCTCGCACTCGGACTGCAAGACACAAAGAAAAACCGCCGTTCCGTCCATTTAAACTGGAATCCCGACGTCGGTCCTATCTGTTTGAAGCATTCCTGTTCCTCATCTTTTGTTATGTAGTTGTAAGATCAGGAAGGTGGAACATCCCCACTTAGGCCAGGATTTCTTTGCCACATACTTGACAGGATGAGATTGGTTTGCATTAAAAAAACGACAGTGGGGATGGAAGATCTACGACTAGTTGGGCGTAAACTTTATCCTTCCTGTGAATTTTTGCGCATAAATGTTGTTGGACGGGTGATCAGTCAATACAGAGCGAGTTTGTATGCATTTCCAACAACCCTTTGCAAAGCATTAGTCGCGTTCGCAGGATGTGTAGGTTGCTTGTTCGTATCACGTCGAGGTCACCAATTTGTGGCGGTTACAGCTGAGCTTACAGCCCTGACCGCCACAGGTGTCAACGCCCACCGCGCTGCTTACCTTTTGATCTGCCCTTAGGCCCAAATAAACGAAGGACAGCAATACCGATCGTATGGCTTGAGATAGTCTGAAGTCGCTGCGACATCGTGTCTCATTTGTGACAGGGTCAATGTAATCCACTCTTAAGGTTGCTCTAGTGTAACGTGGTCCATAGGCGCATTTTGAGTAATGTAGAAATCCTGCAGGCAGCAACATCAGTTTGGGAGATGATGTCGTTCCTACCTCGTCGGACGTTAGACAGATTGTTGTAGACTAGAATCACGCTTTGGCAGAGCGATTGGGGACCCTGATCATTATGGTTTTTGCCGGTATACCGTCTGGGTCATTTATTCTTCGCAGGCATTCGCGATGGATGGAGTCGAAGGCTGGCACAAAGTAAAGAATGCGGACCGCTGTAGCTTGATGGTGGCCATAGGATATTTCAAGA